GAAAAATACACCCGGGGGGGGGGGGGGGGGTTTACATTATATATTTACATTACATAATGTCTGTTAAATTACAGTACATAAAATTACACTTACCATATAAACAGAGTAAGGAGAGATGACCCCGCAATTTAAACAGTATAATTACCCAATGATATAACTGCGAGATAAAGTATTGAAATATATATTTTACTCTCATCTCATATTTATTAACTTTAGGGGTTCTATATAGACGTCATTTTATTTCCGAACACGGAATTGGGATGCGGCGGCGAATTGCAGATCCTGAGCACCTCTGACAAACATCTAATCTTGTAAAATGTGTGGTAAGTACTGCCGCTCCATAGTATAAACAAAGTACGTGTGATCGCGAATCTCGAAAGTGAAAGTGAAACTAAAATCGTGCATTCAAAAGCAGTTTCAATGCCAGGCATAATAGCGGCTCCCTGCCTGATGCCCGCATTTTAAACAGTATAATTACCCAATGATATAACTGCGAGAGAAGTTACATGGGGAGGATCACGATGCCGGCTCAACATCGTGAAGTCTATCAGCCATCGGCGATAGACGATGCCCAACCCTACAATGAATCTCTTATTTACATCATGTTTGCACTGTTAATTATGATGAAAGCATTTTTGAGAGTGCAGAACTCAAGCTGCAATGACGAGATCACTGCATTAATGCACTCAACATTTGCTGCAATTAGATAATCTCGACAGCTGTAATAATAAAAATGTAGTAAAAGTTTTCGAGAGAGCTCCACATCCAATACTTATTTCATATGTATAATGTCAGCCAATCATAGCAGTGGGGGCGTTTACACTGAAGTCTGACAACAGACATGCCCCTTCTAACGGAGCATTCAAACCAGAGGGCTAAAATCAGCGTAGAAAATTATCTAAATCTAAAATAATCTAAATTATAATTTTTAATGTAAAAAAATCATACTAACATTTTAAGTGCACCTCAGGAATCATTAAGAAATTAAAAAATGCAGTTCATGACCCCTTTAACGGGCATAATTATGAATTAAAATAACTGAAGGAAACATATATTTGCAAAACAAGACAACTAATATTAGTTGTATTTTTTTGCTATGTCTACACAATATTTTTACAATCTACAAAAGAAATGACAATACAGGAATGTGTAACTGGTATGAGCAAATACCAAAACTGAACATATCGATATCAGACTTCTTGCGTAGTTAATTGGATGCATCCCTTTTTAGGTTAATTTAACAGTTTTCTTAATAAAGCCATATAGACTAGAACAGGGGTGCCCAAACTTGGTCCTGGAGGGCCGGTGTCCTGCAGATTCTTTTCTTAAAGCACTCCAGCGTCATTTTTGAGACTTCTCCTGCACAACGTCGGTTGAATATTATTACTTGTGCAAGTGCCACTTTGGCAAGTTCTGCATATGTCTGTGAAGACTCGTGATTTTTTAGGCTTTCAGAAGCTTCAACTGATTTCTTCTCTAGGTACTGGTGGAGAAGCTGCACGTCCTGTGTGAATGGTATAGTAGATGGTTTGCTGAACTTTGATTTGTTCAAAGTAGCAAGAGCAGCATGCGAGACATGTCCTGTCCATTCACTTGAGCACAGTCTTTTGAATCGCTCTGCTGCTTTTGTCATAACATCATCCTCTACTGCGATGGCCCTGCAGAGAATAACGTCACCAATCTTGTTAAGTGAATGTCCTAACTTCAGTGCAAGACTTGGCGTCTTATACAAATGGCTCTTTTCATCGTAACCAGCAACATCTTTCACAGCCTCAAGGACTTTGTAAAAATGGTTCGGTTTCACAGCATCTTCAAAGCTATATATGGAGTATTTTCTTCTCAATCTTAGCAAGAGTCTGCCCATTTCTCGAGCCTTCTGTCTGATGTATTCAGATTTTGATGGATCACTGCCATGCTTGTTGTAAAGACATTGACTCAACTGAAGTATGAGGAAATCATTTCGAACTACTGATGAAATGTCATCATTCTTCATATTTCCCAAGATCTTCCACACCTCAGGAGATATTGGTTGGGAGAATGTTGACTCTGCAATATCAGCCAAATCTAATACTTTGGCCTTGCCAGTTGCTTCAGACATCTTTGAAGGGCATCTCCGTGTATGGCGCCACAGCTCCTTGCGAACAAACAGGCCTTTACAGTATACACAATGCACAAATGTTTTGGCACTCAGCTCGATTTCTGATCTTCCTGTGCGCCTCCTAATTTTCAGTGGTCCTCTTTTTCTTTCTATAACCTCTTGATTGTGTTGGTAGTTGCCTCTGTTTCGTAGCTTCTCAAGTAACTGTTTTCTGTCCTTGGAGTGTTTAGGGAGAGAGAATGCAGCAGCAATTTCCGTCTCACTGTTTTGATGCTGTTTGAAGTGACGTGAAATTTTAGACTGAGGTTTCTTGCAGACGTAGCAGTAATTTTTGTGGGTGGTGAAAGTTTCTTTGGGGTTTGGCACATCCTCTGTCTCTGACTGTTTATCAGGAGACTCTGTTGGTGTATAATTTTCATTACATGTGAGTTGAGTGATTTGTAAGACACTGAAACAGCTGGGTTTGTTTTACAATATGGTGGATTGAATGTATTGACAGACAGAAAATCACCACTATCGCTATTTTCCATGATCATGTTTCCAGTTTAGCATACAGTTTTAATTAAAAAATATCATCTAGGGGTGTCACACCAAAGGAAAACAAAACTTAGCACTTTTATACTGGTTCCAAAAAGTTAAATATTTTAACAATTCTGAGACAGAAATTTACCATGTGCACATCGTTGACATCACAGGGGGCTTCAGTAACGTGACCTTGAATGATGTCCTTCAGCTAATTAAAATTTGTCTGTGAAACTGTCCAATTTAAAATAAGAATATGGTGTCACACCGGAGACACCAATGACAAAATGTCATCAAGTTCCTAAGCTTTTTTTATTTTTTAACTGAAATAGACACTTCTAAAACTATGCCTGAGTTTTTTTTTTTTATGCTTTTCTTTTTAATTTATAAAAGATGTAATTTATTGAACCATGCTTGAGGCTGTCACACCATTGGACAATTTAGATATTTTGCTCAAAAATAATAAAAAAAAAATCTAGTAACACAGCAGCTTTTACAACAGGTCCATGTAGGACAAAGAAATGTTTAACCATTTACTGCATTTTAAATATGACAATAGTAATTATCTTAATTTTTATCTTGTTACAGTGAAAATGCCATGCCATGTCATGTCAACAACCCTAATACACATTTGAGTGATTCTGAGAATGTAAAGTTGATGAATATTGAAAAAAAAAATTGGCTCTAAACATTCATGTACAAAATTATTCAACCCCCAAAGTCAAATTTGTTGTGGAATATTTTATTTATAACCTAAAATTAAAAGCTTCTGTCAGCTCTCTACTACAATCTCATCCCATTCCTTGCATAAAAAGCTTCCAGGTCACTGAAAATCGTTGGTTTTCACATTGCCACTGCTTTCTTAAAAATTCCACCAAATATTTTCAATGAGATGGTTGCACCACATGACATTTTTTTAAGGCTACGGCCGATTCATCTAGATGAAAAAAACACTAAAATCACTAAATTTAAAATTTTAATATGCATTTATGTGTACACAACATTCTTAAAGGGGTCTTATGATGCTGCTAAAAAGAACATTATTTTGTGTATTTGGTGTAATGAAATGTGTTTATGCAGTTTAAAGTAAAAAAAAAAACACATTATTTTCCACGTACTGTACATTATTGTTTCTCCTCTATGCCCCGCCTTTACTACAGTGAGACTAAAAGTTACGCCTTCTTTCTTTGCGTGAACATTTGGGCGGCGTTATGCAAATCTTCCCACATAGTGACGTAGATATGTGGGGGCGTGTTAGTACGAGCCGTTTTAGGTAGGTGTGGCTGACTCTGAACTTTTATAAAGAATATCTCTTTGGATTTGAGACTTCAGTCTTTGCAACTTTACAGATCTTCTTTATGCACCAAGAGCTTGTAACACTCCAAAGAGAAAGGAAAAATTGAAATTGCATCATATGACCCCTTTAAGGCTACGGCCGATTCATCTAGATGAAAGAACACTAAAATCATTTAATTTAAAATTTTTATATGCATTTATGTGTACACAACATTCTTAATGTTTGAACAACTACAAAAGATATTACTATTTTTTGTATTTTAAAATTTGCCTGTCAAAAATCCTTATACATCAATGACCCATAAAGTTTGTTTTATAGCAAAAGCAGATAACTCCACATTTCTTGTTTCAGAGTTAAACAAAAACACTTGTTTAATCTTTGTAATCTCCTCAGCGGACAATGTAGACGCCTGACAAACGTTGTTGTTCTGATTAACGTTACACGGAATACAGGAGCAGCTTTTCTCTCAGCATTGCAACGTGCTGCTTTTGCAAGCTTCCGTGAAAAAGTTTCAGCTTTTAATTTCCTTTTACACCCTGAAGAAGATATCACAGGTTCATCAAGTTCGTCGAAATTATCCATCCTCGATCACTTTTAGTCAACTTTTAAGAAACTCCTCTCAGCTAGCGCGTCTTTTCAAAGTGACTGGCAGCCGTGTCACCTGACCTGAATACAGCGCGCTGATTCGCTAAAATTGACTTAGCGGCTTCTGTTCACAAACAACAATGGCGCTCGTCGGCTTCTGCAGTAAAACGTGAACTTGCGATGCCTTGAAAGTGGACAATAACGGCTTTTTGGACAAAACGTGTTTAGGGTTCAGATCGCGCTATGTGGAAAATAATGCACGGCACTCAGTTAATTTTTTTTTTAAGTGCCGTTTATCGGGGGTTTTTTTTGCAAATTAACTCTTCAATTACAGACCGAATATTCGAATGTTCAACTATTTGTGCACACACCTAGTTTAATGTTACATCAAATCATTGTTTTGTTTTTCCTATTTCTATCATGTTTACATATCTGTTATTCTTTAGAATTGGAAATTTATCAATGTGACCCTGGACCACAAATCCAGTCATAAGTAGCACGGGTATATTTGTAGCAATAGTCAACAATACATTGTATGGGTCAAAATGATTGATTTTTCTTTTATGCCAAAAATCATTAGGATATTAAGTATCTATCTATCTATTTATCGTAAATATATCAAAACTTAATTTTTGATTAGTAATATGCATTGCTAAGAACTTCATTTTGACAACTTTAAAGGTAATTTTCTCAATATTGTGATTTTTTTGCACCTTCAGATTCCAGATTCCTTTCCTAACAAACCATACATAAATGGAAAGCTTATTTATTCATCTTTCAGATGATGTATACATCTCAATTTAAAAAAATTGACCCTTGTGACTGGTTTTGTAGTCCAGGGTCACATATAATGGTCAAATGAGTGAGTTCAGCGTTGACAATGAAAACCAACCTGTTTGTGTCTCAGTATCTTCATGTCTGACTCTGAATACTTCTTCAATCTTCATGTCTTCACTCTCAACTTTAATAAACGCCATCTTTATAATAGTGTGTCACGAGGATCTCAGTTGCTTCAGCAGGAGTTTTTTCTGCGTGTTTGGACACTTTGTCCTGTTTAAGATTAATATAATTAACTAAATGAAAAATAAATGCAAACTAAATCTATGGGTGCGTCTCAATCAGCTCCCAGTAGTCAGTACACTAGTAAGGGAGTGAGTCAGAGTTAATAGACTTGACAAAAAAAACAAAACTAGCACTCAAATAAATAAATTATACATTTGTATGTAGTATTTACGGATTTGTAGATTATATTAAAAAAAAATCCCACTTTCATGAGAACATTTGCAGTTGTTTTGTAAAAGTTATCAATAAACACGTTTGTGTTGGTCTTGTTTTAAGCAGCAGATTCGAGCGATTCAAAACAGTGAATCGTTTTGAGAATCAATTGATTCAGTTGACTCGGAGATTCAAAAAGCTGCGTTTCTCCAGCACTACTCGCCAGTGACTGAATTCGTGTTTAAATAAACTGATTCTCGATATAGAGAGCGAGATGAGACGCACCGTTGCTGTTACTCATGTGTGGGTGCGCTTTAAAAGCACAACATAATTAATGAACGACTAATATCACCCGATAAATATTACATTACAAATAAAGCATTTCATTTTTACGTTCAATTCTCGAAACGAGTCGTGTTAATTTAAACATTTTACACTATTAAAACCACACACCTTTCTTCAGCCGAATCACAGACGCAGGAGCGCAGTGTTATGACGTCACAACGACAGACCAAAATAAAAGTCTTTTTCGCTAAAATCATATCATTTCTCTCTCACACACACACACACACACACACACACACACACACTCTCACACACGCACA